CCTCTCCCACGAGAGCCAACCCATCGGTGGTGTCAGACATAACCCATTGTCCAGAGAGTCAACACGTGTTGACTTAATTGCGACCGTAATTAATATGACAACTAATGAACACATGGTTTGAGGCATTAATTTAATGGCTCCGAAAAATTAGGTGATTGTGTTTTGGGCCACAAAACGGGTGTTTCATAACATTTTCAATGAACTGTAGGTTTGCTGATGGGTTTGGGATCAACTCAAAGATCTTATGAATTGTTTAAATGATTAAATAAACGATTGAATTAAATATAATTTAATGAATAATGAGATGAGTTGTGAAACGAGTGTTGAATAACAACACAACACATATTCAGATCAGCTGTTTATCCAATGTTTATGTTTTTCTATGCATTCAGTGTTTGAGTGTTGGCTGTTATGATAGAGGCGTCAGTTTTCGGTCACTTGTATAGCAGTTATATAATTATTATAATGTGTTTATTATTTAATAATTAATTAAAATTAATTTATAAACAGTATATTTGATTAGAACTACACAATAATTTGCGGTTAAATAAATTAAATGATTAAATTGTAGTATAAATAGTGAATAATTGGTGCGAGCATTGAGTGACCGAAAGTATAGTCACAAAACACCAGTAGTTGTTGTGATAAGGAGTGCGAGAAATGCCGATAAAAATAGTGTGAAAAATAATTGATCACAAAATTGTTATCAAAACAACTATTGATTGCAAACAATGAATGCATTGATTAACTAATTATACATTCATTACAAATGATTAACAATGAGATTACAGTACAAAACCCTGCAGTCATTAGTGTCCACACCATGTGTTTCATCAATGGTTTTGATCCCAAAAAACTCACGAGTGATTGTTGTCTTTGAATCGGTGGCCAAAAAAACAATGATTTAATTTAATGACTAGTTTTGTAATGCATTTAAAAGTGATGACCAATTAATGTGTTTTCAATTTAGTAGTGATTTATATATGAGTTTGTGTTTTGCAATGCATTTGTTTGTATTGTTTATTGACTTTACATTTTTTGATTGTTATCTCAAGTCATAAAACGGTATCCAGTGATTAAAATAATGGCCGAAACGACCATGATCAAACCGTTGGATAGACAAGAATTTATTCAACAGTCGCGGCGAAGACTGGAAGCGCTTGCGATCTATAATGAGTCCCACTTTCACGTCGGGAAAGATGAAGAAAATGTATCCAATGGTAAGGGAATGTCTGAAGGAATTTCTCGACCACTTGGAAGTGTACGCCAAAGACAGGAAAGACATAAACCTAAAGGAAATGCACGGCAACTATACGATGGATGTGATCGCCACGTGTGCCTTCTCTACCAAAACCAATTCACACAAAAACCCTAACAATCCCTTCACGACAAACGCCAAGAAGATATTCGCCTTTCCTTTGCATAGATTTCTTCTTTTTGTTTTTATGCCAAAAGTTTTGCGAAAGTTTTTTGGATTCAATTTTATTAGTGAGGAAAGCGTTAATCAATTCTTCTTTGATATAACAAAACAACGAATAGACGAAAGAAGAGCTAAACAAACCTCTAATAAGTCTTATAATGATTTCATACAACTTCTTGTGGACGCGAATAACAATAAGGAAGAGATTTACGACAACGACAATGATATCGACGAATCACATCACGTGAATGAAGGTATGATTTATCAATATTTTTTGTTTAACATTTCGATATAAAAATGTTTTAAATTTTAACACATTTTAGGAGAGGAAGAGAGGGCTGTGGAGAAGAAGACATTATCGATAAACATAGGGAATAAACAGATGAGTGAAGACGAGATGAAAGCTCAGGGATGGATATTCTTCATCGCAGGTTATGAGACAACGGCAACCACTTTGACGTTCTGTTCGTATGAATTGGCACTCAATCCACACATTCAGCAAAGACTCTATGAAGAGGTCGAGTCCGCCGTCGACTCCAACGGAGAGATTAGTTATGAAGTGTTGGCAAAACTTCCACTTTTGGACGCAATCCTTTCCGAAACCCTACGCCTGTATCCACCGGTTCCTCGACTCGATAGGGAAGCGCAGACCGAATATAAAGTGGGCGACACTGGCCTACAGTTATATGCGGGACAAACAGTTGAGATTCCGGTCTATGCTATCCATCATTCAGAAGAGTTCTACCCGAATGCACACAAATTTGACCCTGATCGATTTATGCCTGAAAACAGACACAAAATCATTCCCTATACATACCTACCCTTCGGCGCCGGTCCTCGTAATTGCATTGGTATGCGGTTTGCGTTAATGGAGGCTAAGTTAGGGTTGGCTCAGATCGTACGCCGGTATCGCTTCTTCCGATCGGCACAAACAGCAGTTCCCCTCCAATTCAGACCAATCAGTCGTCTATTGGCCGCCAAAGAAGTTGTGGTCGGAATTGAAAAGAGATAAATTATTATATCTTTAAAGCTGTTTAAAAGATTGTTTACCACATTATATATATATTCAACAAATTTATATAAAATATTAATTAGTAATGAAATCAGTTTTAATGAATCTAAAAACATAATTAATTTAAATAAATCCTATTGAATGTTTTCAACCCATATTTATTTCATTGAAAACTAATAATTAATAAATAATTTCCTTTAGAAATTGCATTCAATTGAATCCAATTGTTATAAATTTTTAACAAACAATACTCTTAAACATAACATTAGTTTAGCCTTAAACCAGTCTTTCTAACAAATAATTAAATATTTGAAACCAAATCTAACCGTCATTTTATAGTTTCATCAGTTTTTATAAAATAAACATTTCTTCTGAAAAGTTATCAAATAATAGACACAACTGTTGAAGAAATCAAAGACAAGAAATGAATGGAAGCGATGGTCAGTCGAGTCATGTCTTCAACGATGACGAACTGTTCCTGATCTTCAGACACATAGATATCACTGAATTGTTTTCAATGCAAAGAGTGTCCCAACAGTTCCGCAAATGTGCGCAAAAAACATTGGCGGCGAAGACAGACCTCAGTATTGGACACAATTCTCATCCTTATTACGAGTTTGTGTCCATTGAGTTGATGACAGCCCTCACGAGTAACTCAAGGATTCTTTCTGATCACTTGGAATTGGATTCAATGCTTCAGATCTTTCGTAGTGTTAAGACATTGTATTTAAAGAGCGTTACCGTTGACTATGAGGTGATGGAAATGATTGTCAATCGTTTACCACAACTCCAAAGCATATACTTGTCGTCGATTTCCTTCAATCTATCAAATGAGAGAACAGTCACCGAATGGACACAACTCTTAGCAAAAGTCACTCGAATTGAGACCCATTTTAGTGACAATGAAATGATGACTTTTATACAGAATATCACACGAGAGTTACCATCGCTTCAAAGTTTAGCTATAGATAAATGCGAAATCAATCCCTCATTTCTGGTCGATTGCATACCGAAAAACATTCGGGTTTTAAAGTTTGGTATAAGTTATATTTCAGTAGCGATGGACACACAGGCGCTCGACGTTGTGATCACGAAATGCAATCAATTGTTGGACATAACTATCCGTTGTTTTGATCTCACTTTACAACAGTTTACAACTATTTGCGATCATTTCCCACGACTTCAAAGACTTGATATTGAATTCGAAACCATTTCGAGCGAAGAGTTGGCCACAAATCTATCGAAATTACGTGATTTGAAATATTTTTCGTTGAGATCTTTTCGGATAACTTTTGACACCAATGTTATGATGTCTTCTATGAAACCCATGACTAGTCTTCGGTCTCTGAGATTACGTGATATTAACTGTTCGGCCAAACGGTGGACACAATTGCCACAAATGTTACCAAATGTGACCAAAATAACACTAATTAACATCAATTGTCACATAGACTGCAGTCCTTTCAACGATTACTTCTTCGCCAAAAAATGTCTGCATTCAGTGATGCAATCAGTGCTCAAAATACCGAAATTAAAACATCTGGAAATCGACATGAATTTACATCAGTTTTTGTTAAAGACTTTGAATTTATTCAAACCATTGGATTCATTACTTTTCCGCAACTCTCGATCGATACCGTCTGAAGACAACAAAACCATTGAATTTATCGATCGTTTGTTTCAATTCCTCACCAAAACATTCGCCGACAAGAAGACAGTCTTCCGATTATATGTCAAGTATTGTCGAGAACTCGAGTTTTTGAGGATTAAATTCAATACAATGAAAGTCAAAATCCCAGACAACGTTCGGATCATTGAATTCAATGAATATATTTAACACAAATCTCTATCTCATTAAGCATTCAATTTATGTAAACGATTGGATAAAACTTCCAAATTAGAGATAATTTCACAAATGATTTGTTAATAAATATTTTTAAAAAAGTTTATTTAATATTTTTAATTAAGTTTAATTTAAAGAAAATAATTATTTCTAAAATACATGGAATGAGAATTAAAACATAGCATTGAATAACACAATAAAAACACAATTAGTTTCCCGTTATATGCCCTTAAATTGTATCACATGTTTGATGGCAGAGATGTATGGCATGGGTTTACGCACCGGGAGGGGAACCCCTCCCCCACTCATAAACCGAATTATAACTGTTTGTCTTGAGATTGAGAAGAGATATCGAGTTCTGCTTTGAAGAGCCGAATGCCAGTCGAAGGTATGGTTACGTGTATTTCGTCGGTTCCGGTCATTGCTTTCGGTTCCCAAACATTGTTTTCGGTGTCAAATAAATCGCGAAACAAATACTTGTATTTGAGTCCCAATTCTTGTAATCGGACGCCAATACTGATGGCACTATCGGTGCGTCGGTTCACAAACGCCACGGCATATGACGTCTGGTCACCGGTTGTGTCCTTCCTCTCCGGTAATATCGGACGCAACCAAATGTCAAGAGTTTCGTTGTGAAAGACCCGAACGCCCGGTCGGGCCATACGGTCCTGATTCACACCAATCACAGCCCTGTTTAGCAAAATGTCTTTGAATTCACGGCCGATATGTCTCAAGTCGTTGGACATGAATAACGGGGCGGCGATTATGGACCAAATGCCCATTTGGACCCTCGACTGGTCCACTGTTAGGCCTTCGTTACCAATCAATAGCTGTGAACACAACAAACAAATCATACGATTAGCACTCGTTTTAAAGCAGATTAAGTGATGTGTGAAAAAAGTTGACACAAAATATTTCCTTTAATTTTCATTTATAAATGCATTGAAGAAATAGTTATAGTTTTATAACTTATTAAATAAATTATAAGGAAATATAAATTCACAGCAATTTTGTGACTCATTTGAGATGACATTAAAAATATAAATGAAATAATGATAATTAAATCAACGATTACTAATCAATAACATATCAATTGTGCGCTCATGTGATGGATATATACAGTTAAGTATTGATTTATTCAAGTTTTGCTTTACCTTATGCTAAAAACTGCTTAAAACATGTCAACAATTTATTGTAATGTTTGTTACAAACAATTAAAATGTGAGACAAATGGCTCAATACAGACCATATCGGGATCATTGAAGCGTCCGGGGCCTACATTACGGTTGAATATCTCCTGATTGTCGCCCACGAAGTCAATTGTGGCCAAAATATCTTTCCAATTGGTGTGAATGTCGTGATATGTGCGCCAAATATTGCACTTATCGGCGATGAGATTCCAGTTGGGAATCACTTGCGAAGTGTGCAACTGATAGTACGGCCAACTGCACGAGTATACCATTGCCCGACCCGTTTGGTTCAGTGTTTGGCTAAAGTCCTCAAACCCTTTGTCTAGAGTGTGAACGGGAGTGAAACACGCGTCCACTTTAACCATATCGACGCCCCAATCGGCAAATGTCTTGGCGTCCATCGCCTGAAAGCCGATGAGTCCCGGATATCCCATACATGTCCGCAAACCGTAGTTCTGATATATGCCTAACTTTAGACCTCTTGAGTGCATCTGTTTGTATAGTAATTGTTTTGTCAGCCATTAGTTAATTGTCTTAATGTTTAGTGAAAATGATTGAACCAATGCTTACATAATCTGACAGATATTTAATACCATTGGGAAAGCGGTGCGGATCAGGTAGTAGTTGCTTATCTTCGGCTCTGTTACGGCTCATCCAACAGTCATCGATGTTGACCCTATCATAGCCCGCGTCCCGATACCCGTCGGCCACCAGACGGTCGGCCATATCTGTGAACAGTTTCTCACTAAACAGATAACAATTATAACCATTAAATACAATGTAAATCATATGATTAGCTGTCATGTGATGGTCAGACCTAATGCACTGATCCTTATGTATATTGCATTTAGTATTGCATCCAAACCTCTCCCACGAGAGCCAACCCATCGGTGGTGTCAGACATAACCCATTGTCCAGAGAGTCAACACGTGTTGACTTAATTGCGACCGTAATTAATATGACAACTAATGAACACATGGTTTGAGGCATTGATTGAATGGCACCGAAAAATTAGGTGATTGTGTTTTGGGCCACAAAACGGGTGTTTCATAACATTTTCAATGAACAGTAGGTTTGCCGATGGGTTTGGGATCAACTCAAAGATGTTATGAATCGTTTAAATGATTAAATAAATGATTGAATTAAATATAATTTAATGAATAATGAGATGAGTTGTGAAATGAGCGTTGAATAACAACACAACACATATTCAGATCAGCTGTTTATCCAATGTTTATGTTTTTCTATGCATTCAGTGTTTGAGTGTTGGCTGTTGTGATAGAGGCGTCAGTTTTCGGTCACTTGTATATCAGTTATATAATTATTATAATGTGTTTATTATTTGATAATTAATTAAAATTAATTTATAAATAATATATTTGATTGAAAATATACAATAATTAGCGGTTAAATGAATTAAATGATTAAATTGTAATATAAATAGTGATTAATTGGTGCGAGTATTGAGTGACCGAAAGTATAGCCACAAAACACCAGTAGTTGTTGTGATAAGGAGTGCGAGAAATGCCGATAAAAATAGTGTGAAAAACAATTGATCACAAAATTGTTATCAAAACAACTATTGATTGCAAACAATGAATGCATTGATTGACTAATTATACATTCATTACAAAAGATTAACGATTATAACAATGAGATTACAGTACAAACCCGGTAGTCATTAGTGTCCACACCATGTGTTTCATCAATGGTTTTAATCCCACAAAAAAACTCACGAGTGATTGTTGTCTTTGAATCGGTGGCCAAAAAAACAATGATTTAATTTAATCACTAGTTTTGTAATGCATTTAAAAGTGATGACCAATTAATGTGTTTTCAGAGGCAATCAATTTAGTAGTGATTTATAAGACAAGTGTTTTGTGTTTTGCAATGCATTTGTTTGTATTGTTTATTGACTTTACATTTTTTGATTGTTATCTCAAGTCATAAAACGGTATCCAGTGATTAAAATAATGGCCGAAACGACCATGATCAAACCGTTGGATCCGCCCATCGATGGCACCGCCGATGGCATCGCGAAGACCACCGCCACAGCCGCTGATGGCAACGAGAAGAGCATTTTGTAAGTCCGGATCTGTTGACAGATCACCCGCTAATACAATGTCTATCTAACTGTATATCTGTTGACATGTTTTCAGTGCCGACGTGAGGGAGGCTTTGGATAAAATCCTGGCCAACACTACCGACGGCCCACTCATTCAGCCGCCGAGCATTGAAGGCTCCGATTGGACCGATTGGCTCATCTTCTTCTGGCGCAATCTGTTCCCATTTATCATATGGTTATTAGCGATGGTATGGATCTGTTATATCTGTTTCTACAACTCGCGAGTCATGGGAATGATATTCTCGCGAATTATGAACCAATTCTTCATCAAAAACGGTTACTTCAAAGTCGGTTCCATCTCTTTGGCCACTATTTCCGGCAAATTAATGTTCAGAGACTTTGTTTACGTCACTGAAGACTATTCGCTGCGAATCCAAGACGGATGGTATGAATTGATAACTTAATGATTATAATTATCATTTGATTGATTCAATTGTGTGCTCCGTTTGGGAACCGTTAGGTTAGTGTTCCGGTGGTGGCTGTCGTACACACCACGGGATGTGCGAACTGAAGACTTTTCCAACGGCGAGGTCAGGCTATTAGTGCTGTTGAATGGACTCGAACTGCATATTTATAACCGAACCAAACGATACAAAGAGTTAGAAAAGCTGTTTGGTTTGCCGACAAGACTCGGCGATAACAACGATGACGAGTGCGACGAAGAGGTGGGCAGCCATTCGCTGATCGACAGCATCAACGAGACGGCCAACGAATGGAAAGGCAGCCAATGGCGTGATCTGATCCCAGTGACCAAAGTGGAGATCACGTCGGGTCGGTTCGTGTTCGGCAACCACTTGATGCCCAGCACACTGTCGCTGGTGATCGAAGAGGCGTACTTCGTGTACACGACACGGCCGGCCGTCTCGCCGCACGACCTCTTCACCAACATTACCAAATGCAAGGCCGAGAACGTGAAAGTGATTTTGGCGCCCAGTCCTAAGTTTATGGGCATTAGTGACGAACCGCCGCGCTTTATGGGCGAGGGTTTCATTGTGTTCCAGAGCAACGACATCGATGTGTACTACTATCAGGACGAGCCCGGACTCGCGTCCGACAAACCCGAAAAGCTAGAGCTCGCCAACGGAGACATTGTCGAGAAGTTCACGTCTCCCGCCTGGGGTCTAGTCATCAAATGCGGAAAAGGCACTGACTTTAGTTACGGCCCGTGGGCTGACCGCCAACGGGAACTGCTCTACAATTTCTTCTATCCATCCGATTATAAGCCGATGGAAGTGTCGAAACGACCCAAATTAGGCGAACGCCGTGTTTTCGAGTCGCTAGACATACGGCTGAGCACTCTATCGGACGCTAAGATCGATGTGCTGTTCTCGAAGAATAAGGAGACGAGCGCTCTGCACGTGAACGCCGGTCCCGGCTCTTACCTGGAGATCACCATTCCGTGGGTGAACTCCGAGAGCGGATACGTGTCGCACATAAACGGCCAGATAATGCATTTGGACGCCACCACTAGTCTAGACTTCAGGCCACTGGCTGTGAGCGAAACTCTCGAGTTTGACGTGAAGATAACGTACCCGCGAGTGTGGAACGCGCACCAGCTGTGGACGTGTGCGCTCACCGGTTGCAAAGCCACCGTAAATCTCATTTACGCGCACAAACTCTTCTTCCAGGCCCTGATCGAGGACTGGGCGGGAAAGACACGGCCGGACATAATGAAGTTCGTTCCCTACACCTGCAAGATATCGGTGGCGCTCAAAGAGTTTGAATTACTAATACTGGCCAACGAATACAATTGGATTGACTGCTCTACGGGTCTCAACGGCGAGAACCAACAGTTGGCCATTTGTGGCGAAATTTTCGACATGACATTCGACTTGCCTTTTGTCGAGTTTCTGCCCCCAAATGTCGACATTAAGATCTGGATCGCCGGCGAGGGTTTAGAGGCGGCCTTCTATTTGCCCGACAGTAACATTCATCGCGATATTGTCGAGGCGTTGCATTCGTACGCCCGGATCACCTCACGGGACGGCCAGACTTGTGACAAATCGCCGCTCTTCACGAACGACAGGAAGTGGCGGAATGTTGTGTCGCGAGAGAACAATTGGTACGAGTGCTGGACTGCGCCCATCGTTGCGCTCAACATAGCCTACAAATACTGGCCAATGCCTCCCAAAACGTTTGCCCCGAAACAGTCCGAAGTGACGACACCCGAGTTGGAGGAGATATTACTGTCGCCAATGCGTCCAAACCGGTCGCCCAAACACATGTGTTCGGCGCCGGCGGACTTCGATCCGCTATCGCTGGAGCCGGACGTGATTGCCGTCGAGTTGGAGATCGGGCCGTCAGTGATTGGACTCTTCGGTACACTGTTTCGCATGCTTTGGAACATCAAAGAGAACTATTTGGGCGAATGTCAAGAGTTCGCAGATCTCAGTTGTAATAGTTCCGCATTTTTTGACAAATTTGCCGAAACTGATCCCAAGAACCAAAACAATAGTAACAACAATAACACGACCGACGATCACATGGAGATGGAGTTCAAGCCGTTTGACGCGCGGGTCTATCGGCCATTCGAGGTGACAGTGTCTGTGACTCTGCACGAGATTCAGGCGCATCTCATGAAGTGCTGCAACGACTCGGACCCGCCCTGTCCTGCGGTCTTCACCGAACGGCTCTGTTTTGAATTACACAAATCGTTGCGCTCAACATAGCCTACAAATACTGGCCAATGCCTCCCAAAACGTTTGCCCCGAAACAGTCCGAAGTGACGACACCCGAGTTGGAGGAGATATTACTGTCGCCAATGCGTCCAAACCGGTCACCAAAACACATGTGTTCGGCGCCCGCGGACTTCGATCCGCTATCGCTGGAGCCGGACGTGATTGCCGTCGAGTTGGAGATCGGGCCGTCGGTGATTGGACTCTTCGGTACACTGTTTCGCATGCTTTGGAACATCAAAGAGAACTATTTGGGCGAATGCCAAGAGTTCGCAGATCTCAGTTGTAATAGTTCCGCATTTTTTGACAAATTCGCCGAAACTGATCCCAAGAACCAAAACAATAGTAACAACAATAACACGACCGACGATCACATGGAGATGGAGTTCAAGCCGTTTGACGCGCGGGTCTATAGGCCATTCGAGGTGACAGTGTCTGTGACTCTGCACGAGATTCAGGCGCATCTCATGAAGTGCTGCAACGACTCGGACCCGCCCTGTCCTGCGGTCTTCACCGAACGGCTCTGTTTTGAATTACACAAAACTTATGCCGAAACACAGTTACAGCTATTGATTGCGCCGATTGTCTTGATCTCGACTGACGTCCAGCAGAGAGCGGACAACAACTCGCACCTCAAGAACGGCTACTTAACGCTATCGTCGCTTCAGTTCAGAGGACACGCCATGTTCTCGGGTGTGGATCGACCCCTGGAGAGCGAGACACTGGAGTACGCGTGGCTCGTCGACGTACAGTTGGGCGACATCGCCGGCCGACTCACTGTACCGCAGATCCAACACATTGTCACCCCATTGGAAACATTCCTCCTGCAAGTGCTACAAACCGAGTGCTCACTACAGCCCCCGTTTCCCTACCAAAAGTGTCTGCACGATGTGATCCAATCGGTGTGTCCGCACTCGACGGCCACCAAACTGTGTCCGTATCCCGAAGATCTCAAATACAAAATGGTTCGCCTGTCGATCGACGCCATTGACGTGCATGTGGTCGAGTCCAATGTGGCCATTAGTGTGCAACTGATTCCCGTCAAGTTCTCGATGTGTAATATCCACAGCTGTCACAGCTCTGTGGGCATAACGGCGCTCATCAATCGACTCCATGTGCGACAGTTTGTCCGCACCAATAGTCCGCCGCAAACCCTAAACAAGAGCGCCAACAGTCGCCTGTCGTTGACCAGAGAAGTGACTCAATGGCTAGAAGTGAGCAGTTTATCGTTGGGTCCGGTGTTTGTGGACTCGGCCTCACTCTTGTCTTCGGTCGACAATTACACGCAATCGCAGAACACATTCCTTAAGATACACGACATTAAGACCAAACGGTTGTGGTTTCTCTGGTCCGACGAATTGGATGTTTTGCCGCCATATTTGGTGGGAAAGTGCGGATGTGTTGGCGGCTCGACATTCTTCGGCAACAATAAAACTGGACTCAATTTCTTTACAATCGCTAAACGCCAGT